GAGCTGGGAAATTTAATATGTGTGTCTTGGATGGCGGGAGCAAAAAATCCCATTTAGCCTGAACAAAACCCACTCTTGTCCTGGTATGCTTTACCTATTTGTCTATTCATTCATGCATTCATTCATTCATTCACTCTGTCAACACACTTATGGTAAACCCCTGTGTAAAGTGTAACGCTTGTGTCTAGGCCTGCAAATAACCCCACGTTAAGAAGTTCGTCATCAGCAGGTTTCTCAGAAAACTCTGCCAGTGCCTCCCACGACCCAAGCAGAGGAAGCAGGTGCATCTTGGAGAGATTTTCAAATATAATCTAGTATCGGGCCTCATGCTGCCTTGACAGTAATATAGGTTAACTCCAGGCAGGCTGCAAGTTACAGCAGATTGAGCGTGAACTCACAAGCCAGCAAGTCAAGCCATGGCATTCAGTAGTTGAGTAAACTTGGGCACGTTACCCAAACCTTTAAACTGTGAAGTGGAGCTAAAAATCAAACTCCTTCCAAAGGGTTGTTATGACAATTAAATGCAATGCTTTATATGAAGTACTTAGTATAACTACATGCAGGAAGGATTCACTCAAGTTTTGTGGCTCTTTTTATTGAAAGCAAACACTTCAAAAACAAAACCCTTTACCTATTTAATCTGAAGCAATATTCTGCACAAAATGACACTTTTATAATTAGTTGCTATGGTTATTCACAAATCTTTGAATAAGAACTAGTAGGAGAAACAGGAACACTTAACACTGTTGGTGGGAGTATAAATTAGTTAAACCATTGTGGAAGACAGTGTGGCGATTCCTCAAGGATTTAGAAATAGAAATTCCATTTGACCCAGCAATCCCATTACTGGGTATATACCCAAAGGATTATAAATTGTTCTATTGTAAAGACACATGCACACGAATGTTCATTGCAGCACTGTTTATGATAGCAAAGACTTGGAACCAACCCAAATGCCCATCAACGATAGACTGGACAAAGAAAATGTGGCACATATACACCATGGAATACTATGCAGCCATAAAAAAGGATGAGTTTGTGTCCTTTGTAGGGACATGGATGAAACCGGAAACCATCATTCTCAGCAAACTGACACAGAACAGAAAATCAAACACCACATGTTCTCACTCATAGGCGGGTGTTGAACAATGAGAACACATGGACACAGGGAGGAGAGCATCACACACTGTCAGCTGCGGGGAGCTACGGGAGGGACAGTGGGGATGGGGAGGGTGGGGAGGGATAACATGGGGAGAAATGCCAGATATAGATGATGGGGGGATGGAGGCAGCAAACCACCTTTCCATGTATGTACCTATGCAACCACCCTGCATAATCTGCATATGTACCCCAGAACCTAAAGTACAATAAAAATAAATAAATAAGTAAATAAATAAAATTAAACAAAAAAAGAACTAGTAACTAAAATAGGCCAGTATTGACAAGACTGACTTGGTGATGCTAGAAACTGCAGCAGATCTGTTGTGAATTCATACACTCTTGTCCATGGTACGCTTCACCTGTGTGTCTGTTCATCCATCCCATGGCTTATTGAATCCAGGAAATCAGTAGAGGAGCTTTGCTGTTGTTACTGCTGCTGTTTTGCTTCTTAATAATGAAAAACTGAGGCAAATGACACAGATCAGCAGGGGCCACACACATGCAGCAATTCCTTCCTGAATCCACATTTTGAAGACCTTGCCTGCTGCTCATGAACTTATGCTGGAAGCCGTGCAGGAAGTCAAGTCATTAAAGGACTCTGTGAACACTGTTGTGGCACTTTTTATCTTTTCCAAGTGAGGATCTGGGCATGAGGAAGCAAACACTGGACCAGTCACGCCTCCTGAGCTTAGGTGAGACACATGGGACCTTTCACCTCCTCCTCACACAGGGTGGCTGGCCGTGGCCAGAGTGTCCATGAGTCTTTGGCACTTGCAGCTGTCATTGGACCCTGGTGAAATCAGATCTAAGGCCCAGGGTAGTTCTGGGGAACAGGTGCCTGCACGGCCCATATCAACTGCATTTTGTGAGGGCCACATAATCCCAGTGACTAGGTGGTCTAAATGATGGAATTACACTGGGCCCTCTGAGATCAATTTGTTAATCCATGTGGGCACTAATTCTTTCTTTCTTTCTTTCTTTCTTTCTTTCTTTCTTTCTTTCTTTCTTTCTTTCTTTCTTCCTTTCTTTCTTTCTTTTTCTTTCTTTCCTTCTTTCTTTCTTTCCTTCCTTCTTTCTTCTTTCTCCTTTCTTTCTTTTTCCTACCTTCCTTCTTTCTTTTTTCCTTCCTTCTCTTCCTTCTCTCCTTCCTCCTTCCTTTCCTTTTCTTCCTTCTTGTTTTCATTTCTTTTCTCTTCTGTCTCATGCACTCCTTTCCCCCACCCGTGCCCTGTGTCATTCAGAGGGCCCATTATCCTCCAGCACCCATTACACTTCCAGGACTATGAAGAGCAGTTTATAGATTCTCTCTGGCTAGAACTGGGGAAATACTACAGGGTTCTAAAAACAGCTGTGTGTGTGTGTGTGTGTGTGTGCAGGAAAAACTCTTTAGTTTGAATAAGATATTGGAAAAGAAAAGACATTTTTAGTTTGGTTCAGAGCAATTATAAAAGGTCTCCTAGGTTGTGGCTGATAATATGGTATTAGAGTCAACACAGAGGCTCCTTAGCTACAGGCTGGTTCTGCATTCTTTGTGAAGTGAAACTTATACTTTGTATTTCTCAACTGTGTGGACAGAGCACTCGTTTCTATTCTTGGCCATTTGCTCTGTTCTTGTGTCACAGGTTTACCTGGCGAGGCAGAAATTTTCCTTCCAACATCTCTCCATAGATGTACGTGTATATAAAGTTCCCAGATCATTTGAGGTGTGCTTTTTATGCCCACAGCTGTCACCGCCGCAGAAACTGTGTCCCTCAGGCTGCAGTATCTCAGAAACAGCAGCATTTAATCGTCTCATCCTCTGATGTGAAGGTGTCGATGGTTTAATATGTACACATCACAGATTTCAAATTTTGCTGTTGAAATTCAGTCTTCAGCAGAAACCTAGCTGTCTCTTTGACTTGAAATGTGTTCTAAAATGTATAATAAAGGTCTATTAAACAAACAAAAAAGAAACCATGGATGCCTCAGTATTTCCCCCAAACGCTCACTACAGATCTTGAAAGCGAACCCAGATGCCTCAGTATTTCCCCCAAACACTCAGTACAGATCTTGAAAGCGAACCCAGATGCCTCAGTATTTCCCCCAAACGCTCCAGAAATCCTTGACCACAACCAGTGAGACTTTATTTGAATTCTGTGGCATCAAATGCACTGTTCTACATGAAGGGCCAGTTTGCTACAAATAAGGAATGACCCTGACATTCTTTCCCACCTGTCTCTTAACCTTAGGTCACAGTCCTTCTATATTTTTTGCACCCATTTTACTTTCCTCTGAAATCTGTCAAATGGAAATAAGACTCCATGTTGCTCCATACAGCCTCACCTAAAGGTTCTACCCCCATGTCTTTGTGTTCAGAAACTGGGGTCAAGAGGGGCCAAATGGAAATGGAAAGGGCAGGGGGTATAAGCATGCTTAGACGGAGATTGGCGACAGCCACTGGTGATGGACCCTTAAATTAGCAAAGTTCAATCCCACCCCAATTTTCTGAGACCATACTGAGTACCTGGAGGAGTTGCCTTAGGAATGTACCCACAGCTAATGAAAGGTGACCCTTCCTGCGACTCTCCTGCCTCTTCAAACAAACAAGTTCTTCCCAAAGTAATTGGTCCCCGGCTCCTATCCTGTCCTTTGAACCTGCCACCATGCACTTTTGCCCCAGGGGACGTCAGGCTGGGTTTCAAATTTCACTGGTATGCATTAGCTTTTCCTTTTATGATAAAAAGCTCAGACATCAGGACTCTTTGCTGGACAAAGCGGGAGAAACGTGGAGCCTGTTGTCCTTGAACTGAAGACATTAGAGGGACTCTCACTGTGAGACAGACACATAGTCACGTCCATGCCTGCTGGCTGGCGAGGCTGGGACATCACTGTGGGGGTCCATGCCTGTGCACCTTGTGAAGGGGAGAAAGGGCGGCATGGGCTGCCCCCACCCCCACCCTCTCCTTTCCTTTCCTTTCATATTGCTTGCGGAGGGGACAATTTTTGGTGATACTGTGTTAACCAGTCAGAGACTTCATTAGAGTAACAAGATACTGACCGAGTTTATTAAGCTACGAAAAGTGTTGGATAATAGCACGAGATAGTGTTGTCTGTCTTAAGGTGGCTGCCTTATAAAGAAGCTGGAGGAGCCAAAGCCTTAAGCATGGGCCATCACCCTCCAAGGGAGCCACTGCCTGAGGCAGAAGGGGACAGGGAAGGTCCTGGGAACCCCAGGAAAGGAGAAGATGGAGAAAGGCACAGAGAACCCCAGGATCTGCCTGGCAGAAGACCCCAGGAGAAAAAGCAGATGGTCAGTGATCTGCTAAGAGCCTGACTTTTTTCTGATCATGGGGATTCCCTACACAGCTTTCCAGGAGCCAGGACCCGCTAAGGGTTACACAAAACTTCTTCCTACAGTCCCAGCTTAGAGGCTGTTTCGAGAAGGAAATAATATATTGTTCCTAATTGTCCCTGAACCTCAGAAACAGGCAGAATTTTCAGAAGTAGAAAAGTTCCTTTTTGAAGTTTCCTTTCTTGTTAAAGAATAAGTGTGCTAATAACTTTGTTAAGCCCTATCCTATGTTCCTACGTAGCTGTTAGACATGACATGCTTACAGGCACGTAGTGCATTCTGGGTCCTTGCACTTCAACCAAGATATCTGTGCTGGATGTGCTAGCAGGTTAGAATGAACCTTCTGCGAGGACCTTAGACTGCAAAGAAGTGTGTGCCTTAGGCTAGAGTCCTACCCTCCTCCCTACGCTACCAAAGTGCTTCCAGGCGCACAGAGCCAGTGAGTCATTGCAGTGAACGCCCAGGCCCAGAGAGCTGCAGGAAGTGGGTGGAGATGGGCTGGATTCCAGCAGGCAGAGACACCTGCACCCTGTCAAAGAGGTCCCTAGCCACCTGAGGGGAAATCCAGTCTGCAGCCCTATCTCAACCTGTCTTCCAGTCACCTGGCCAGTAAGACGTCAGCGATGGTGAGAGTGATGGCGTGTCTGGAGTGGGGCCTTGACCTGCTGTCCAGATGGGTTTAGAGAGTCTCTGGCTGGAAGAAGGTGGCGGGCTGTCTTGCTGCTCTGATGTGCCTGCCAGGAAAGGGAGAGCCGGGTGTGTCCGGTGAGTGATCTGGGCTGACCAAGGCTGCCGTGGACAGTCTGCCCTCTGAGTTTCCTGCCCTCTGAGTTTCATCTGTCCTTCACTCCTTCTCCAGTGTGTGGCCCGAGTGACTTGGCACCAACTTGTCCCTCAGTCTGAAGACCTCACAGGCCCACTGGGGATATCACATTCCTCTTCTGCTCCAGCTCTGCATAACAAGGACCATGCAAATTTCTTCACTGTGATCTCGTGACACTGAAATCAGCTCAGCCAAGTCCGTGGAAAAGCAATTGGTCACATCCACCATTTTGCTTCATGCAGACCAACCGCCCAGTGCACCCATCTATTTTGGTAGAAATTCACATTGTTTGATAATTGAGATATATGTTTTTTCAGGCAGAGTGTAACTGGCATTTTATCAGGGGCTTTTAGCTCATCAGGATGGTGTTTGCAGAACCTGACAGAGTGATAAATTTTGCTTGTTTTAATCCTTTCCTTTTTTCCCACCAGAGGTTAATTGTTTGACATTCTTTGTTAAACTAACACTTTTGATGGGTTAAGAATCATTAAAGCCACTTAAATAAACAGACTGTTCAGGTAAGAACAGAAAAACTAGCATAGCCACAAGCTATTAACTGGCTGGGTTGGGGCCTGGCCTATTAGGTGATTGACATTCACAGTGACACGGATTCACTGGGAGATTTTTTAAAAACCCATTAACTGCTTAAAAGGAAGTGTTGACTTTCTCTTTCAGGTAGAGGAAGAAAATTCCCTGAAATTTTATCTCACTAAATTATTACAATAAGCCCAATTAAGTAATGTCATATTGTCCTTCAAAGATACCACCTACTTTCATTGCTATTATTTTTAATTTAGTGTTTCACATAAGGAAGAAACATCTGTCTATCTTGTCTCATTGTTGTTCATAGGTTTTTAGAATCGATATTACTCAAGCTTCATAAAATGATTCAGAGGAATATTTGTTTCTATGGTCTAGAAGGGGTGTGATGTCATAGGAGTTATGTATCTCTTTTAGGAATACTTTTACGGTTAGAAAGTTGAATAATGAGAGTGGTAAGGATAGTAGCAATATGAAGGATAATTTGGAATAGGGAGATACTTACTAAATGTTGTGTTCTGCCGAAGCTGAATCTGAGGCAGAATGTGCAGTGCAAGGTAGTATCAGGGATTCACACGCTGTCAGAGGAAGGAGGAGGAAGCTGAATCTGAGGCAGAATGTGCAGTGCAAGGTAGTATCAGGGATTCACACCTTGTCAGAGGAAGGAGGAGGAAGCTGAATCTGAGGCAGAATGTGCAGTGCAAGGTAGTATCAGGGATTCACACGCTGTCAGAGGAAGGAGGAGGAAGCTGAATCTGAGGCAGAATGTGCAGGGCAAGGTAGTATCAGGGATTCACACGCTGTCAGAGGAAGGAGGAGGAAGCTGTCAGGGGTAAAATGAACTGCAGTGCAGATGCGCTGGAAGCCTGGCCTCATTCTTCTAGTGAGTCTTGAGGTTAGTTATTATAAATCCTCAAGCTTTCTTCTTTTCTAAAATATTTTGTCCATGCTTCAGCATTTGACATTTCACATGAATTTTCAAATAAGCCATTGACTCATACAAAAACGTTCAGACAAAACCAGTCTGATTTCGATTGCTTTAAAGCAGTGGAGTAGTCAGGGAGAGGAGAAACCTTAACCCTGCTGAGTTTTCCGAGTGAAAACATGTCCCGTCTCTTTTCCTTTGTTTGTCTTCTTTAATTTCTCTCAGCAGTATTCTGTAATTTTCATCGTACAACTCTTAAAAATATTTCATTATATTCATCCCAAGGCATACTGTATTTTTGATGTCATGATTGTTACCATTTTTTAAATATTAGTTTCTAGTTGTTTGTTGCTAGTATATATAGAAATATAGGCTGGGTGCAGTGGCTCATGCCTATAATTCCAGCACTTTGAGAGGCCAAGGCAGGAGGATCACTTGAGCCCAGGAGTTCGATACCAGCCTGGGCAACATAGTGAGACCTTGTCTCTATGGGGGGGGGGGAAAGGCAGGTGTGCAGGTGTCATGGCATGCACCTGTGGTTCCAGCTACTTAGGAGGCTGAGGTGGGAGGGTCTTGTGAAGTCAAGGCTGCAGTGAGCCATGCTCATGCCCCTGCACTCCAGCCTGGGCTACAGAGCAAGACCCTGCCTCTCTCTATACACAGAATTGAATGTGGTATATTGGCCTTATGTTGTGCCAAGTGGCTAAACTCATTCATTAGTTCTAATGGCACTTGTTTGTTTTTACAATTTCTTCAGAATTTTCTATGTATATAATTACAGTTTACTTCTTTCTACAGTTTATTTTTTTCAATTTGATTTCTTCTTGCAAATATTTTATTTGTGCTTTCATGAAAGTTGTTTTTTTCATCAAGGTTACCGATTTTGTTGGCATAAAATTATTCAAATATTTTTCTTAATAGATTTTTAATATCTGTGGGATCTAAAGTGATGTCCAGTCCTTCATCCATAATATTGCAAATTTGTATCTTCTTTCTTTAAAAAAAAACTCCATCAGTTATGCTAGAGATGAGCAGTTTTATTAATCTTTTCAATAAGTCAGATCTTGGTTTTATTAATTTTCTCTATTTCCTGTTTTCTATTTTGCTAATTGTCACTCATATATTTATTATTTCTTCCCCTTTATTTCTTTCAGGGTTTGATTCTTTTTTTCTAAAGCTTGTGTGATTGATTTTAATCCTCTTCATAAACATTTCCTGTGTATCACTGCTTTGGCTGTACCCCACAAATTGTGCCATATTACATTCTCATTTTAATTTAGTTCACAATATATCATGATTTCTTCTTTCACGCATGTGTTTTTATGAAGTGTATTGTTTCTGCCCCACACTGCCCTGTCATCAAGTCCAGCTGTGAAGGGCTCCTAGCTGTTAGCAGAACAAAGTCCCACTCCTGAGCCTGCCTGACTCCCTCTTCAGTGCCACAGGGAGCTCCACAGGCTTCTCCCCAGCCAAGGTCATGCCTGGCCTCATCTCAGACCTCTGCTTAGGACAAAGGATGTGGCCAGGGTTACTCCCTTCTTCTACCCATTGGTACCTTTGCTTGAAAGAATAGAATTATTTCTCTCCTTGAAGAAACAAAAAACAGAAAACAAACAAACAGAAAAACCGTGTGGTTTCATTTCCAAACATTTGGGGACTTTCCAGATACATTTCTGTTGTTGATTTCTATTTTAATTCCACTATGGTCAAACAAACAAACAAACCATTGTGATTCGAATCCTTTAAAATGTTTTGAGACTTACTTTATAACCAAGTGTGCTGTCTGTCATCGTGAATGTTCCACGTGCGTCTGAACAGCATGTGTGTCCTGCGGGTTGGAACGCGTTGTATATTGAAGCCAGAATCTTCTGTAAAGCTCAGTTAGGTCAGATTGTGTAACAGTGTTTTCCAAGCCCAGTGTACCCCAATTACTTTTTTATTTGTTCTATTATTTTATGAAAAACAGGGGCGAAAAAAATCTGCAAATATATTTACGAACATGTCTATTTCTCCTTCTAGTTCTGCCAGCTTTGCTTCAGGTGTTTGAAGTTCTGTTATTAGATTGGTACAAAAGTAAATGCGATTTTTGCCAGTAAAAGAAATTAAAAGTAATGGCAAAATGCACAATTACTTTTGCACCAACCTGATAGGTACCTAGTAGATACATGCACATTTAGTATTGTATGTCATCTTGATTAAGTAAGCCCTTTATCATTACAATTTTTTTTTTTTTTGAGATGGAGTTTTGCTCTGTCTCCAGGCTGGAGTGCCGTGGTGCAATCTTGGCTCACTGCAACCTCTGTCTCCCAGGTGCAAGTGATTCTCCTGCCTCAGCCTCCTGAGTAACTGGGACTACAGGCAAGTGCCGCCATGCCTAGCTAATTTTTGTATTTTTAGTAGAGACGGGGTTTCGCCATGTTGGCCAGGATGGTCTTGAACTCCTGACTTTGTGATCTGCCTGCCTCGGCCTCCCAAAGTGCTGGGATTACAGGCATGAGCCACGGCACCTGGCTGAATTGGCCTCTCTCTAGTACTACTTGTTGTGTTCTGACTTCTCCACTAACCTGTTTGTGTCTTTACATTTTTGCATTTAAAGATCCCCCTTTTTCTTTTCTCTCTGTTTTTTTCTTTCTTTTCTTTTTGTAGATAGCATATACCTGAGTCTTGTTTTGCTATCCAATCTGAAAATCTCTGTTTTATAGTTGATGTGTTTAGATCAGCACAGCCTAATAGAACTTTTGTGATGATGGTGATGTCCTCTGTCTGCACTGTTCAGGCTGACAATCATACGTGGTTATTGAGCACTGGAGATGTTTCCAGTTTGCCTGAGGACTGAATTTTCCATTTTATTTTAACTAATTAATATAGACTTAAATAATCACATGTGGTTAGTGACTAGCAGATGAGATAATGAAGGTTTAGGTAATTTACATTCATTGTACTTTTTGATTTGAGTTTAAGTGTGCCGTATTTCTACTTGTTTTCTATTTGTTAATCTGATACGTGTTCCTTTTTTTTGGCTTGCCTTTTCAAATTAATTCTGTATTTTTTTGTGATTTCCTTTTGTATTTACAATATATTATTAGATTTTCCATGTTGCTTCATTTGATTGCTCTAGTGTTTAAAATATGTATTTTTAACATCTCACAGTCTACCTTCAAATAATATTATATCATTTAAATACAATGTAATACTTTATACCCCACGTGCCATCTTCTTGCTGTTGTTGTCATATATTCTATATCTACATATATTATAAACCAGCAAACCAATATTATCACTTTTGCTTTAAATGTTCAACCGTTGGTAAAAAAAAAATTAAAACTAGAAAAACCCTGAGTTTCCTGTTTCTCCCGTATTTCTCATGCTCTTCTTATGTGAATGCAAGTTCCCATTTGAAATTACTGTTCTTTTGCCTGAAAATGTTCCTTTAACATTTCTTGTGGTGAAAGGCATGCTCATGATAAATTACCTGTTATTGTTTGACTGGTAAATATATGAGATAAAATCTGTAAAATTCCAAATGGACAGGTTGTCCTCTTCCAGTCGTTTAAGAATGTAATTCAGTTGTCTTCTGGCTCACACAGTTTTCGACAAATGCGTGTTCTTTTGTTCGTTATATGCCCTTTTGCCTGTGGCTACTTTCAAGATTTTCTCTTTATCACTAGTTTTCCTCGATCTTACTATGACGTGCCATGGTGGGTGCTTTCGGGCTCGCTGGTCTACTAGGATATAGGAATTATAGTCATCAAATTTTAAATACTTCTGGTGTTCTTTCGGATATGATTTCCTACTCCTCTTCTCCTTGCTTTCTCCGACACACATCAAACAAAGGTGGCTTGATGTTGTCTACCAAGAATCTCAGAATCCGGTGGTTATTCTCCATTCTTTTTTCTCTGTATGGACAGTGTCTTTTGAACAGTTTCTTCTGCCATGCCTTTATGTACATTGGTCTTTCACAGCGTCTAATATGCTTTTAGCCCAATTCAGTGGAAGTTTACATTTTAGAGATATGTATCTCTGAAAATTTTATATTTTTGCCTATCTGTTAGTTCTCTCCTCATTATAAAAACGTTTTCCCTTCAATCATTGAACATACTGAGTGTATTTATAATAGCTATTTTAATGGCCCTTTCTGCTAATTTTGCCATGGTTATCATAGCTAGTTGTGTTTTTGTTGACTAAGATTTCTCCTTGTATGTGTTATATCTTCCTTCCTGCTTCCTAATGTGCCAGGTAATTTTTAATTAGATACCAAATGTCAGTTGTTTTAGTGCTAAAAATTTTTTAAAGAGTTCTAGGTGGGATTGCAATCCCTCGGGAGGCTGAGGCAGGAGAGTCACTTGAACTGAGGAGGTGGAGATTGCAGTAAGCCGAGATCACACCATGGCACTCCAGCCTGAGTGACAGAGTAAGATTCCATATCAAAAAAAAAAAAGAGTGCTAGGTGGCTGGGTGTGGCAGCTCACGCTTATAACCCCAGCACTTGGGGAGGCTGAGACAGGTGGATTACTTGAGGGCAGGAGTTCGAGACCAGCCTGGCCAACATGGTGAAATCACGTCTCTACTAAAAACACAAAAATTAGCCAGGCATGGTGGCACGCACCTGTAATCGCATCTACTCAGGAGACTGAGGCAGGAGAATCGCCATGAACCCAGGAGGTGGAGGTTTCAGTGAGCTGGCATTGTGTCACTGCACTCCAGCTTGGGCAGCACAGTGAGACTCCATCTCAACGAAGAAAAAAAAACAGAGGACTGGGCTTTGCTTTGGCAGACACTGCTGTTATTTGCGTACTAAGGCAATATTTTTTGAGGCATATTTTTAATTGTTTGGGAGTAAAAAAAAGAAGTAAAAAAGCTGAGACTTGTTCTATTTTAAACAAGTAAAACTCTGGACAAAATATGAAACAATTATTTGCAGACACCAGAGAGCAGCTTTCTAGGCTTACTGGAAAGCACAATGTTTGCGGCTTCCTTGAGGTTCTTTCTGGGTTAGTTTAGCCCAACTGTGGCACGACCTTTATGGAAACTCTGTTGAAGACTGTGTATTCAGTACACTTTCTCCACTCTGGCTGGTGGCAAGTCGAAGGCTTTCTGACCCCGTCTCAGTAATTCTGGAGATTGTTTGGTACACAGCTCTTTTGTACCTTTCCTGTACCTGGAAACTTTCATCGAACCTCATGGAAATGTACTGTATGTATGTGTAGACTTGTATTCATCCAGCTACTCAAAGGCATTCCTACACCTGTGAAGGTGTCTAAAGCTTTTTCTTTGCATAGCTTCCTCTTCTTTGGTGCTCTGCCGTGAAAAGCCTTCGGTTTCCCCAAACTGTGATTTCTATCTCCTCAGCTCAACGATAGGGCCTTGCTGTGTTGCATTCTTCTCCCTGGACTGCAGTCTGAAATTTGCTTCCGGAAGTAGCCGAGGAGGCCTTGGACTCATCTTGTGTATTTCCTTTTGCCTGGGGCCAAAGGTTTTGTACTTCCTGTTTCCT